CGGGAGCGCGCTCAGGCAGCGGTTTTCTTCTCCCACAATCCAGAGGCAGCGGCGCGGGAAGGGCGGGGAGTCGGCGGAAGGATATCGGCGCGGAGGGAGCGGAGCGCTCCCTTTGACGGAGGGGTGGCGGCCGTGTTGGGCGCCGAGGGGTGGGGTGTGATGCGGCACTGCGGCTCTGTGGCCGTTACTCCCGCTCCTCCAGAGAGGGCGGAGGCTGGAGCGCGGCGGTGATTTTGTGCCGGAGCTTCCCAGAGGCGAACTGAAAAGGCTGGCGGGGTTTAGGAAGCTGGGGGGTTAGGGACACACATTCAGGCCCCCACCCCCGGGAGGGGACGGGGGCTGGAGGCTAGGCTTGAGGGCGGCGGGAGAGCGCCGGAGGGATGGTGTGTGCTCGCGAGAAGGGGGCGAGCCCTGCCTGTCGGCGGTGAGGGGCTGCGGGCAGGGGAGGGCTCCATCGGTCGAAGCGGCTGCTTGGCCACCGGTGTGTGGAACGTGCTGAGCGGAGCGCTGGGCTGGAGCCTGGCGGCCACTTGTAATCCCCAACGTTGTATCTAACGTGCTGTTTGATTTAGCCCGCGTTGGAGATTAATTCATTGGGAGTTTCGCTCGTCTTGCTCCTCCAGGAGCTGGGCAACCTTGACGGGCTTTTTGTCTTGCTGCTCCAGCCCCCTTTCCCTTCCTCCTCCTTCCGATGCCTTTTCTCTGCCCCTCCTCGCCCGGTAAAGACATTGCCAGCTCAGGCTGCCGCTCGTGGCGGCTGTCGAAGCCACTGCTCGGGATTTCGGCTCTTTTCCCTCTTGGGTGTTTTTTGAGGAGGGAGAGCTTTTCTCCCCTCCACGATGAGATTTTCCTCCCTTGCGGAAATGGACTTTCATTGATTTTTACTTACTTCACCGTCTAGTGACCAATTCCCTAAGCGTATTTTTGTGGTAGTTCCTTTTTTTCCTCCCCAAATACATAATCTGTAAAATGGAGAACGAGATTTTTACTCCCCTTCTGGAGCAGTTCATGACCAGCCCCTTGGTCACTTGGGTAAGTGGGGTGTCCTTATTGTATACTTTGCTGCATTATTTGTGGCTGCAGAGATGGAGGTGGGCGTTCGTGGCGTGATGATGATCTTTCTGTTCTAGGTTAAAACGTTTGGACCTCTGGCTGCAGGAAATGGTACCAACCTGGATGAGTATGTGGCTTTGGTGGATGGGGTGTTCTTGAACCAGGTCATGCACCAAATGTAAGTGGTCTTTCCTTTTTTTTCTAGACAACTTGTTTTCTTTGGAAAAAATAGCATATTGTGAATTTAGAGGCTTTATGTTTTAAGCCCCCAATTTGGTTTATTAGCCAGAAAAAGTCCAGGTGATTCAGGAATTGGACGTTAAAAGGAGTGATAATCTTATATGCCCAGCACATTTATCGCAAGCCAGTAATTTTACCTGTTAAAATTGTGAAACTTTAATTTTTCGTTCTGTAAACTATGTATTGTCACGTACAGTCTTCAGTGCTGAAATCCAAACCATAGTGTGTCCTCTTTATTTGGCCAAATAAGAGAGAAAGAGAGAAAATGAATCTAGTTTCCTAAGGGGGGGTGGGGAGGACTTTACTGTGAAGTCATGTGCATTTGATGCAGAAATGTTTCTTACTAACCTTTGTGTTTAACAATAAATGGCTCAAATTTTAAAACTGGCGAAGTAATAGCAGATTTTGCAAGAGAGAGAATTTCAAACAATAGTTCTGATTGGTGAGGAGGGCTGTTGCTGTAGCAAGTAATTTAAATGCCTGTAATAACCAAAGTGATTAGATGATTTACTGCGTGAATGATTAGATTGCTGTATATTTTGGGAGATCATCCTAAGGTATTCTCAGAGGTTTTGAAACGCAGGTGACTGAAGTCTTGATGACAGCTAGATAATAATTCAGTAGGCGTATCTTTGTCTTCTATGTTTATATTGGATTTGTATTAAGTAGAAAAGTACATTTTTGACTTAGGTATTGAATACTGAAATCATATTGGTAACTGAATCAGTGAAATAAAAACTAGTCCATTTTTATTGTTACAGGTATTGGATCATACTTGCATTCTAAGTATTTGAGTGTAGGTTATCAAATTCTGCCTACTCCAGTTGTGCTCAAAATAATGTGTATTTAGGCTTAATTTCTCTTGAATTGAATCTGATTTACAAGAGTCGACTGGAACTTTTGATTTCAAAACGTTCTTCTCTCATCTATGTAGAAATTTAGTGCATTATTAATAAATATGTTAATAGAGAATAAGTACTGTTTTGCTCTAATAATTTTACATATATGATTTCAATTCTGTATTTTATTGAAAATGATTTTTTCTGTTTAAAAGAGGGCAGAAGTCAAATCCATAAGTAGCTGGTGCAGTGATAACTTCTGAGTCTGTGTGCTCAAAGAGATTTGTGTGCTATCTTTCATGTATATGCTGATCCTATGGGGAAGTATTATACTACCATACAGTCCCCAAAAGTGTTTTATTTGTATAGGCACTCAGAGAAATGTATATGTTATTTAAATGTGTATATGTTTTTATTTTTCCTTGAGAAAAAAAGAATGTAGAAATGAATTCTTTCCAGAGATTGTGAATATGTTTTTGGCAGCTCTCCCATAGAATTATTTTTTGTCTTTGCAATATCCCACTGTTTCATAAGCAAAATGGTAGAATGACTAAACTGACTTCTGTTTTAGGGAAAACACATGACAGGAAGGGTAGCCATTACAGTAGACGCTCAGAACTGGTTCCTCTGTGTCTCTTCACTTGCCTGTTTTTAGGCAGAAATTTTTGAATTTGCGTGCTGAACTCTAAAAAAATAGGTGTTTTCAAAAAAAATAGGAAAGTATATTTAGTTTTCTACTTTAATATTTTTTATTTGAATGATTCCTTTTTCAAAAAATATTTAGATTTTGTTTTTTTTTTGAGTCCTGAATAGTTAGCCGAGGTGCTAAAAGCAGACACTTTCCACTTGGAGTACAGTTTTATACTTAAAAAAAAAAAATTTATATTTTGAAATAGTGGTTGCAATGTTGTTGTTTTTTTTTTTTTTTTGAGAACTATTTTCCAAACCTCAAATCTGCTTCTGTGTTTTCAGTTCCTTTAAAAACTTTTCAGTGTCCTAATTCTCTTCTGAATGACCTGTATAAATTAAAGGAAAAGAAATTTAAGAAAAAGAAGTACATTTCTGTCTTAAAAAAAAAATTTGCTAAAATAAGATAACATAGATTTACTTTAATGAATTATTTAACTGATAGGATAAGAAAATATACATTGTTTTAAAAAATTATGGTTTGCTAATTTTTTATTTATTGGGGTTTTTGATAAGCACTTTACTCAAACTAATGTTTGATTTAATGTATTCTCTTGAAGTGTCAGTTACAACACTGTACCTAGTAAGTTAGCCCAAAAGTTAGCTTTAGTCTAAGTAATTTCTAGATTACATTTGGGTATAGAATTTGGAGTGAGAATTCTTTGTAAATGAAGTTGTTTATACATTTTTCTTATGTTTCTTGTGCTTGGAGTTTGTTGAGCTTCTTGGATCTGTTGGTTTATGGTTTTTATCAAATTTGGAAATTTTTTGGCCATTATTTCTTCAAATATTTTTTCCCCTCCCTCTTGGAAGTCCAGTTACATGTATGTTAGGCTGATTGACTTGTCTTAAAGCGCAGATCAGTTTTTTTTTTTTCAGTCTTTTTTTCCTCTTTGTTTCATTTTGGATAGTCTATTGCTATGTCTCCAAGTTTTACTAATCTTTTTTCCGCAATGTTTAGTCTGCTGTTAATTTTATCCAGTGTATTTTTCATTTCTGACATTATAGTTTCATCTCTAGAAACCTGGGCTTTTTTATATTTTCTGTGTCCTCATCGTCCATGTTCCATCTTTCTCCTAGCTTCTTAAACGTATGAAATACGGTTGTAAAGACTGGTTAAATGTCTGTGTCTACTATCTTTCTGGGTCAGCTTTAATGGATTTGTCTCCTGCTTTGTATGCCTGACATTGGAAATTTTACCTTGTTGTTGAGTACTGGATATTTTTGTATTTCGGTAAATACAGTTTGAGCTTTGTTCTGGGATTTGACCTTTGTGGGGTTGCTTTTAAGTTTTCTTAGGCAGTACTAGGGCAGCGTTTAGTTTGGGGCTAATTTTGTCCCACTGTTGAGGCAAAACTGTTCCAAGTACTCTGGCTATGGGAACAGGAACTGTTCCTGGTTCTCTGTGTGCTGTAGGTGTTCCTCTAATCCTCTGGGTGAGTTCTTCTTGGGTAGTTTCCTCATAGTATGCATTTATAAGTACTCAGCTGAAGGCTCGAGGAATACCCTCCACAGATCAGTGGGTCTTTCTGTGCAGCTTTCTCCTCTTCGGTGCTCGCTCCTGTGTTTTCAGCCCCCGGCTGTCTCCAGACTCAGTTTCTCCTCAACTCGGAGACTACCACACTCCACTTGAGTTCCCGCTCCCCTTTCCACAGCCTGGAAACTTTTTCAAGGCAATGAGCTGGGGCAGTTGTAGGGTTCACCTTGTTTGTTTCCTGTCTATCAGGGATCACTGTCCTTGGTTGCCTGATGTTCCATGTCTTGAAAAACTTTCATATATCTTAGGTCTTTTTTTTCCCACCAGTCGTTTTAGGCCTAAGAGCGAATTTCATCCCTGTTACTCCATCTTGGCCAGAGGTGGAAATCTCTTTATATACTTCACTTAGTGTTTTGCCTGCTAGTCTTATAGTACTGCTTTCAGATGTGACATTGAATTATGTTTTATGAGCTGTATTATAGAATTTTTTTAATTTAAAGTATTTACTAGAAATAAGAATATTGATTGATTGAATGACTCTGGTGTTGCCATTTTGGAGCCAGAGTGTGAAAGTGAAGAGTTGGATTTCATGACACTGTGTACTGACTCTCTCTTGTAATTTTGGAGTCTTTTCACTGACTTGGGATTCACTGTGTTTGGAGATGCATCCCGGATTTCACTGAGTGGGCCCTTAAATCAGAGAATCTCTGTAAGAGCTTGTGACATGGCAACAGTCCTCTTTAACTAATAGGAAGGGGAAGCTATTTAGAGATCTGGAGTGATGGCCCAGCTCTTCTGCATGCTGCAGGGCATTTTCCTACTTCAGCCAAATGAGTTTTTTTTCTTTTCCCCCTCACTGTTAGTGGTGAGACATAGGGCTTGGTGACAGTGAAGTAGAAATAATCATTTTTCCGTTGAGATGTTATTCAGTTTTGTAACCAATTTTGAATATTACTGTGAATTTTTAAGGAATTTGTGACATTGGAGTTAATTTCATAATCCTAAAAAGTACACTATTCATATTATGTAAGTAGTTGGAAATGTGGATATGTTAGGGTTTTAAATACTGAGATAGTTGATAATGGTATCAGAACAATGTTTGCAATTACTCTGTATGATTGAACCCCATTAGATAACTGTAGACATCTATACTTAGAATACTCGGTAATTATAATGTACTTGTTATGTCTTTTCTTCTTGTGGAATCTTGAGTTCTAAGGGGCTTTAGGAATCATCTACTATGAAAGTATTTTTAAATTAAACCTCTGACACATGGTCATCCAATTTCTGCGTAAGTATTTCCTGAGAATCAGCTTCATGAAGTATACCTAAAGAAGCCATTCATCTAATGGAGGAAGTTGACTGAGACATGTTCCTTTGTCCTGTCAATGCTTAAGATTTCAAAAGTAGATTGTGCTAACTCTATGTCTCTATAATAACCCTACAATGACTTATAGAATAAGCTGTTTTACCAAGTATGGCATTGACTCTGAATTTTGATATGATTACTCTCAGTTTTTCTCATTGGGCCTTATAGTTTTTGTTTATTGTATATTTAAAAAACACATACAGTGTAGTCAGAATTGCTAACTTATTACCAAGTTCTGTTGATTTACCTCCCGAATATTTCTCAGGTGTGTACCTGATTCTTGGATTAATTTAGTAGCCCCTGACTGGTCTTGTTTCCTTTGGCCTTAAAAAAAGAAAAAAACCAAACCAGTTGCCATCGAGTCAATTCCAACTCATAGCAACCCTACAGGACAGGGTAGAACTGCCCCATATCGTTTCCAAGGCTGTAATCTTTATGGAAGCAGACTGTCACATCTTTCTCCTGTGGAGTAGCTGATGGGTTTGAACTGCTGACCTTTTGGTTAGCAGCGAAGCACTTAAACCACTGGGCCACCAGGGCTCCTTCCTTTGGACATACCCCCCTTC